AAAACTGTGGTTTCTAAAAGAATGTTTACTCATTGATGCAATTCTAGAAATAGAATTGTTCCTAAGTATCCCTGGTAACAGCTAGGTAAAGATTCTGTGCTGAAGTTTACATGAAAGGTAAATTGAGAGATGATAACTGAAAGCTTAAAAAGCAAGTGAAGTCTCTGTGGGGGTTGGTTAGAGAATTCTGGAGTATACTCCTAGGCTGGAAATAATATATATAGCCAAGGCAGGAAAAAGAAGTGACTTGAAAGAAGGGAAGGGGCAAGACCTTGTTGCCAAGCTGCTTAAAACATTTTGATGGGATTTTTATAATTGAGGGAATAAGTAGATACATAGTTCATCCATGTTGTAGTATGTATCACTACTTCTGTTTTATGGTCAAATAGTATTCCGTTGTATGGATATACCATGCTTTGTTTATCTGTTCACCAGTTGATGGACTTTTGGATTATTAACCATCTTTTGACTTTTTTTTAAAATTTTTTAATGTTTATTTATTTTGAGAGAGAGAGAGAGAGAACAGGGAGGGGCAGAGAGAGAGAGGGAGACACAGAATCCGAAGCAAGTTCCAGGCTCTGAGCCGTTAGCACAGAGTCCCATGCAGGACTCGGACCCACGAACCACGAGATCATGATCTGAGCCAAAGTCAGACACTTAACCGACTGAGCCACCCAGGCGCCTCCATCTTTTGACTATTACAAGTAAAGTTAACTGAACATGCACTTGCAAGTCGTTGTGTGGGTATATACTTTTGTTTATTTTTATAAATTATTTTAAATGTTTTGTTATTTATTTTGAGAGAGAGAGACAAAGTACTTAAGTTGGGGGCAGGACAGGGAGAAAGAGAATTCCAAGCAGGCTCTGTACTGTCAGTGCAAAGCTTGATGCGGGGCTTGATCTCATATGAGATCATGACCTGAGCTGAGGTCAAGACTTGGGTGCTTAACCAGCTCAGACACCCAGGCGCCCATTTTAAATGTTTATTTATTTATTTTGACAGAGTGAGAGAGAGCATGCGCACATGTGAGTGGAGGAGGGGTAGAGAGAGAGGGAGAGAGAGAATCCGAAGCAGGCCCTGGGCTCCGTCTCACTAACCATGAGATCATGACCTGAGCCAAAATCAAGATTCAGATGCTTAACTGACCGAGCCACCCAGGTGCACCTATATGTTTTAGTTTTTTTGAGCAGATATCTAAAAATGGGATTACTAGGGTCATATGATACTGAAATTCTTAAGAAATTGCCAGACTGTTTTTCCAGAGTAACTGTACCATTTTGTGTTCCTACCAGCGAAGTATGAGCATAAGTTGGGTAACCTCTGTGAAAAAAGTTTGGCTATATCTGCTGAAGTTGAAGATTCCCATCCAATAACCAGCAAATTCATCCCAGATATATAGCCTAGAGAAATTCATACACGTGTACCAAGACATAGCTTTAAGAATATTTATCATAGTATTATTTATAGTAGTCTAAGACCACTCAAATGTTCATCATCAGTGGAGTAGATATGTTAACTGGATGGTGATGGTGATGATGATACTGCAAAAGAATGAACAAAGTAAAGGCACAACAGTACTAATCTTTAACATAAGATTCCATTTTTATGAAGTTCAAAAATAAGTAAAAGTACATGGGATGCATACTTAGGTGGTAAAGGTATGAAGAAAAGAAAGAGGTTGCCATGAAAGTCAGTAAAGTGATTATCTCTTGGGGAAAGGAGAGTTGGTTATCACTGGGAGGGAACATATGGGGTCTTCTAGGATTATGGCAGGGCTATTTTTATTGATCTGGTAATGGTTATAAAGTTGTTTATTTATAAAACTGTACATTTATTTATATATTTGTCTATATGAATAGTTTATCCCACAATAAAAAGTATTAAAATAAGTACCATGGCCAAAAAAATGAAATACTACACTACTATATTGAAAGACACAAGTCATTTCCAGAATAGTTTCCATTTTTGCTTCCTAGGTCTTACTCATATTTTTTAATTCTTGGACCTTGCATCATCTTATTTGTAAACTAAATTGTTAGTCCCCTTGGCCCTTTTCCACTTTGGAATCAGTGAGTGATAGGAAACCACCATGTGTTCTTTGAGCAAAGGAGTAGATGATGAACAAATGTTTTAGGAACATTAATCTAACAGCTGAAAGCAATTTAATAGCTGTTAGGAAATCAGTTTAATAGCTGTTTATGGATTAGAATGGAAGTGACCCAAAACACAGCCCAATCCACTGTGAGGAGATAGTCAATTGTTTTTTAAGGGGATACTAACAATATTTGATAATCAGATTGGCAAAGAAAAGAGACTCTGACCATTAGAGGTTGAGAAAAGATTAGTCAAACTCTCTTTGATGTGATCTGTATTATATTCTCACCATGATAGAAAAACAGGAATCAGGGGTGCCTGGCTGGCTCAGTTGGTACAGCATATGACTCTTGATCTCAGGGTTGTAAATTCAAGCCCCATCTTGAATGTAGAGATTACTTAAAAGTAAAGCCCTTAAACAATAAAACAGGACTAGATATATCCTCCCAGCATAAGTAGAAAACTAGACAAAATGAATCAAACAGTGGTTTTCGATACTGAAGAGCAGGCAACACAGGATAGAAATCATGAGAGAAAAGAAACAAATGAAGTGCCCTAGCTTACTGCCTAAAGTAAGTTTCCAGGCCATCGGACAGGGAAGTGAAACCTAAACAGAACCTCACAGTTTCACCAATTTGAATAGTCAAGAGTTCAGAGTGTAGGTAGGACAAGATTGCTAGAATTTGCAAGGACCCAAGAAGTAGTGGCAGAGAAGAAGCTCCAGATGTCCACACCAGGGCTGAGTATTCATCTGGGCATATGTGTGAGAATGTATGTTTGAGACTGGGAGAAAAAATGATTGAAAGGAGTAGGTGGAACAATTCCCAGAGCTCACACATGGTCAGGAATAATTTGTGTTTCCACAAAACTGAATCAGAAGACTGCCTCCCATTTAGAGCATTAAGCACAATTCTTAGAAGTATATTGCCCAAGTAGTGAGATCAAACTAGCCCTTGACAGAAGGCTGATTTGGATCTACCTTAACAAAGCTTAAAAATAAGCCCTAAAAGGAGGATCAAATTGATTTCAAGTAACTTTAAATCACATCCCAGAAAATAACTCTAAAATATTAAAACCAAAGAAGGGGTACCTGGGTGGCTCAGTTGATTGAGTTGTGGACTTCAGCTCAGGTCATGATCTCACGGTTTGTGAGTTCGAACCCTGCATCATGCACAGAGTCTGTTTTGAATCCTCTGTCCCTCCCCCACTTGTGTGTGCATGCTCTCTCAAAAATAAATAAAAATATTTAAAAAAAAACCCCAAAACACCAAGAAATCCAGCACCCAACAACATAAATGATGTTTAGCACCCACCAAAAAATGGCCAGGTATAAAAATATATCCAATAACCAGCAGAAAAGTCAGTCAGTAGAAACAGACCCTGAAATGGCCCAGATAATAGAATTAGTAGATAAGGATATTAAAATACATTCTGTATGTTCAAGAAAGTAGAGGAAAGCATAGATACAGTGAGTAAAGTGGAAGAAGGAAGAACAAACCAAATTGAACTTCTTGAGATGAAAAATACAATTACAAATAAAAACACACTGGTTGGGATTAATGGGAGAATGGATGCTACAAAAGAAAAGATTACTGAGTTTGAAGATGTAGCAATAGAAACAAGAATATCATGCAAGTATATTCCTGTTCTGCACTGTCTTGATTTCCTCTATTACATCTTCACAGGAAGAACATGTACTTTTCTGAAATATATACTGAGAAGGATTCAAGTAATTTTGACAGAAGCTCTAATTCCTTGCACTGTTAGTAACTGTTGGTGATTTAATAGGAATTGGAATGAGGAATATATACATAGGAAGAGTTCCTGGCACTGAATAATATTTATGACTTCCCAGCTTGGAGTTTCATTGTTAGGAAATGTATCTACTTATATGGCCTTATGGCTGGTTGTCATTAAAAATTCCGTGAAGATAGATGTTTGACAATTTTGTAAAGCATTTGTGCTTACAAAATGAGAGGCCTCATTTTGATGACCACCATTATACTATTAGATGTTCTAAAGTGTTAGATTCTATTTTATTAGATACAGTTGTTAATTCCTAAACTTCCTGAAAATATAACAGGTAGTCATTTTTAAGACTAACTGTGCATACCTCATTCCTCTGATATATTTCTCATGTGATGTGGAATATATATTTTAAATGACCTTTTTTTAAATGTTTATTTTTGAGACAAATAGAGCATGAGCGGGGGAGGGGCAGAGAGAGAAAGGGATAGAGGATCCAAAGCAAGCTCCACACTGATAGCAGCAAGCCCAACATAGGGATTGAACTCACAAATTATGAGATCGTGACCTAAGCCAAAGTCGGCTGCTCAGTTGAGCCACCTAGGCACCCCTATATTTTAATTGACCTTAATTGATACTCTGTTTCCAGAATTTTACATTTCTTAACTTAAGATATGCCATATGGCAGTAGTTCTCAAGCTTTTTGGTGTGAGTGTCTCATTACATTCTTTTTTTTTTTTAATATATATTTTTTTATTTTTTTATTTTTAAAAATTTTTTTATATATTTTTAGCTTTTTTAATTTTTTAATATGAAATTTTTAAAATATATTTTTATAATCTTTATTTATTTTTGAGAGGGGGGAGAGAGAGAGTGAGTGCTAGTGGGGGAGGAACAGAGACAGAGGGAGACACAAAATCCAAAGCAGGCTCCAGGCTCTCAGCTGTCAGCACAGAGCCTGATGTGGGGCTCGAATTCACAAACTGCAAGATCATGACCTGAGCTGAAGTCAGATGCTTAACTGACTGAGCCTCCCAGGTGCTCCTCATTATATTCTTAAAACTTGAAAACCCTAGAGCTTCTATCATATTTTCTGTAATAGAAATTAAAACTAAGAAATGTAGGGGCGCCTGGGTGGCACAGTCGGTTCAGCGTCCGACTTCAGCCAGGTCACGATCTCGCGGTCCGTGAGTTTGAGCCCCGCGTCGGGCTCTGGGCTGATGGCTCAGAGCCTGGAGCCTGTTTCCGATTCTGTGTCTCCCTCTCTCTCTGCCTCTCGCCCATTCATGCTCTGTCTCTCTCTGTCCCAAAAATAAATAAACGTTGAAAAAAAAATTAAAAAAAAAAAACAACTAAGAAATGTAAAAAAGATTTATTATTTCATTTAATAAACCCATTAGATGTTGCCATTAATAACATCTTTAAATGAAAAATAACTTTTTTTCTAAAAAATAAGCTAGTGAGAAAAGTGACGTTGTTTGGCATGTTTGCATATCTCTTTTATGCCTGGTTTAATAGTAGATAGCTGGATTGTTATATTTACTTAGGCATTCAGGCTCTTGCAATATGTTTCTTGGGCTGAGGTATATGAAGAAAGTCAAGCCTCATAGAGATAGGTAGTTGGAAAAGTGAGCAGTATTTTGACAGCTTTTTAAATAATTGTGGACATTCTTTTATCTGATAACATACCAAAACTCAAAAAGAGAAAAGTTATTACATTTATGTGCAGTGTGGAATCTAAAAATCCTATCACTGAATATAAAATCTCTCTACATTCAGATTTATTGGTTTATCTTACACTTATGAATAGAACTTATACCCATACATGTTTTTTAACATCAGCATTGGTCACTTGGAAAATACTGATTCAATGAGTTATGTAAATCTTTTAAAGGTTGATAATATTTTGTCATAAATTAGCAAAAAATCAGATTCGTTAGATCACTAACAGAAAATTCTTCTTAAGTATTGGAAAGCTTATACTTAAGCTCAAGCTCACAGTGCTATTTCTCTTGGAAGATTGAATTTTATCATTGGCAACAAGTTTATGTCAGTTGTTTTCTTTGAAGTGACAAATTTATATTTAAGAAAATGTCGGCCAGACAGCCAAGTCAGAATAACAGTTTGTCAGTCCATTCAAGTAAAATGTTGTTCTGTGAAAAATGGCTCACTCAGGTCACAATGTAAACAATCTCATAAGTGCTTTTTTCTCAACATAATTATATTTTGATATACAACAAAAGTGCTTTATGTGTAGTTCGCATTTGTTTTTTGCACAGAATGTTAAAAAGATGTGCATTCAAGGGTTAAGGTCTAATAAAGTTATTTTTACTACTTTAAGGACATTGTTTTTTTAATGTTTAATTTTGGGAGAGAGGAAAAACTCAAGCGGGGAGAGGCAGAATGAGGAGGACAGAGGATCCGAAGTGGTCTCTGCACTGACAGCCGTGAGGCTGATGGGGGCTTGAACTCACAAACTATGAGATCATGACCTTGAACCAAAGTTGGACATTCACCTGACGCACTACCCAGGTGCCCCTACTGCTTTAATAAGGACATTCTTAACTGAAATTGGCTTTTAAAAAAATGCTGATACATGGCTGTAACACAGTGACTACTGGTACATTTAGTGATGTTGCCTTGATTCTTTTTGAGGCATAAGCAGTTTTGCCCACCATTACTTTTGGAGCCTCAGTGCAAATGTCAGCCAAGTGAAAAAAGCAAACAATGTCTTTCCTTTATTATGAAATGGTTTTGACCTCAGTGATCCTTTGAAAAAATCTTGGGTATCCTGACAGGTCTGCAGACTACCTTTTGAGAACTGATACCCTAAGGCATCATAACACTGAAATTGAGAAGCTCCTGTAACAGCCTTTTATTTAAAATAAGTTATACAATCTTGTTTGCCTCTTTATCAAGTAATGCCTGGTGTGGGGAACATAAGTTGTAGGTGTATTCTTTAAAATACCTCATGTGCTTATTTAGTAGTCTGATAACACTTTTAATACCTGTCAAATTTAAACTCTATTTGTTGTCCAATCTTTAAAATTATTTATTATTACTTATTACTATTATTTTAACTATTACTATTTCTGAATTATTTTTCTCTATTTACATTTTGATAAGACTTGCAGTTATTTCATAATCTGAGTATGAACAAATTAACTGTGGTAAATAGTTTTAATACACTTTAAAAAATCACTTCAGGCAGGCATTCCAGACCCTCCAAATATGTCAGAAGAACTAATCCAATTGAAAGCCAAGGAACGACACTTTTTGGAGCAGTTATTAGATGGGAAAAAATTAGAAAATTACAAAATACCAGTACCAATTAATGCTGAACTCAGAAAATATCAGCAGGTAAAGTTTTATACTTATATAATGAATAGTGACTATTCCTTTCAATGTACCCTGAAGAGTTTTTAAAATTTTATTTAGTAAACACTTGTGTTTAGTGTCTTTTACCCGTTTATTACTCCTTTGCCTATAAAAACATGGATTTTTGGTCTGTGCAAATGTGTTTTATAAGAAAAAAATTTTTATGATCTGTTCACATTTATAATTTTTCTCTTTCTCCTAACCTTTCAGGATGGTGTGAACTGGTTAGCATTTCTTAATAAGTATAAACTTCATGGAATTCTGTGTGATGACATGGGTTTAGGAAAAACTTTACAGTCCATCTGCATTCTAGCGGGAGATCACTGTCACCGGTAATTTAAAATGTTATTTTTTTGGAAAAGGGGTTTTAGATGCTGAGAAATGTAAAAACCAAACAAACAAACACTGGTTAATTTATTGTGTTTTATTGTTGTAAAGGGCCCAAGAATATGCAAGATCAAAATTGGCAGAATGTATGCCACTTCCTTCCTTGGTGGTTTGTCCGCCAACATTAACAGGTCACTGGGTGGATGAAGTCGGTAAATTTTGCTCCAAAGAATATCTCAATCCATTACACTATACTGGACCTCCTACTGAAAGAATAAGGTAAGAACTCTACAGCAAAAATATTTAATCTTCTGTTTTGAGAATCACTTTAGAAGAATACAATTTATTAAAAATGACTTCTAGTTAGTCTTTTTGGTTGTCAGAACCTCAACTTATTTAAGAAAGATGAGTGTATGTTATAAAGATAAAATCAGTGAGATACTTCAGAGTTTAGAGACTTTAGCCATTGTTAACAGTCAATTGGATTTTCTAAGTATTGGACCTAGGAACCAAAGCCATTCTCTATGCCCTTCTTGGGAGCCTTGTAATCACAGCATCTCTTTCTCTAAGAGCTCCCTGATCCCCAAAATGCTTTTGCTCCATAAGGGCTGCTCTGACTGTCCTGAGACCATAGCAGTGTTAGAGTTCAATTAGCTTTACCCTTTCTCTCTTAAACTGGTACATCCCTTATGTTCCTAAATACAATTTTTTAAAAAATGTTTATTTTTGAGAGAGAGAGCACAATTGGAGGAGGGGCAGAGAGAGAGAGAGAGGGAGACACAGAATCTGAAGCAGGCTCCAGCCATGAGCTGTCAGCACAGAGCCTGACGTGGGTCTCAAACTCATGAACCATGAAATCTGACCTGAGCCAAAGTTGGACGCTTAACCGACTGAGCCACCCAGGCGCCCCCCTAATACAAATTTTGAAGAGCAGAATTTCCATTGATCTCAGTTTACCTTTTTGTGTGTGTGCAAATTTTTATTTACATTCTAGTTAGTTAACAGTGTAATATTGGCTTCAGGAGTGGAATTTAGTGATTTATCAGTTACATATAACACCCAGTGCTGTCATAACAAGTGCCTTCTTTAATATCCATCACCCATTTAGCACACCCCCCACCCACATCCCTCCAGCAAGTCTGTTTTCAATCTTTAAGAGTCTCTTATGGTTTGCTTCCCTCTCTTTTTTTTTGTTCCCCCTTCCCATGTGTTCATCTGTTTGTTTCTTAAATTCCACATGTGAATGAAATCATGTATTTTTCTCTGACTTATTTTGCTTAGCATAATACATTCTAGCTACATCCATGTCATTGAAAACGGCAAGATTTCATTCTTTTTGATGGCTCAGTAATATTCCATTGTATGTATACACCACATCTTCTTTATCCATTCATCAATTGATGGATACTTGGGCTCTCCCCATCATTTGGCTGTTGTTAATAACGCTGCTGTAAACACTGGGGTCCATGTACCCTTTTGAATATGTATTTTTGTATTCTTTGGGTAAATACCTAATAGTGCAATTGCCAGGTCATAGGGAAGTTCTGTTTTTAGCTTTTTGAACAACCTGTGTGTGTACTCTTTTCCAGAGTGGCTGCACCAGTTTGCATTCTCACCAGCAGTGTAAGAGAGTTGCCCTTTCTCCACATCCTTGCCAACATCTGTTGTTTCCTGTGTTATTAGTTTTAGCTGTTCCGACAGTTGTGAGGTGGTATCTCATCCTAGTTCTGCTTTGTATTTCCCTCATGATGAGTGATGTTGAGCAGTTTTCATGTGTCTGTTAGCCATCTGTATCTTCTTTGAAAAAATGTATATTCATATCTTCTGCCCATTTCTTAACTGGATTGTTTTTTGGGTATTGAGTTTGATAAGTTATGTACAGATCTTGGATACTAACCCTTTATCAGATATGTCATTCGCAGATATCTTCTCCTATTCTGTAGGCTGCCTTTTAGTTTTGTTGATAGTTTCTTTTGCTGTGCAGAAGCTTCTTATCTTGATGAAGCCCTAGTAGTTCATGTTTGCTTTTGTTTCCCTTGCCTTTGGTGATGGGTCTAGTAAGAAGCTGCTCTGGCGAGGTCAAAGAGGTTGCTGCGTGTTTTACTCCTGTAGGATTTTGGTGGTTTCCTGACTCACATTTAGGTCTGGCATTCATTTTGAATTTATTTTTGTGTGTGGTGTAAGCAAGTGGTCCAGTTTCATTCTTCTGCATGTTGCTGTCCAGTTTTCCCAACACCATTTGTCGAAGAGACTTTTTCCGTTGGATATTCTTTCCTCTTTAGCTAAAGATTAGTTGACCATATAGTTGTGGGCCCATTTCTGGGTTTCCTGTTCTATTCCATTGATCTGTATGCTTACGTTTATGCCAGTACCATACTGTCTTGATGACTACAGCTTTGTAATGTAGCCTCAAATTCCGGAATTGTGTTGCCTCCAGCTTTGCTTTTCTTTTTTAAGATTGCTTTGGCTGTTTGGGGTCTTCTGTGATTCCGTAACCAATTTTATGATTGTTTGTGATGATAGTTCTGCAAAGAATGCTGTTGGTATTTTGATAGGGATTGCATTAAATGTGTAGATTGCTTTGGATAGTATAGACATTTTAACAATGTTTGTTCTTCCAATCCATGAGCATGGAATGCTTTTCCATTTCTTTGTGTCCTCTTCAATTTCAAGTGTTCTATAGTTTTCAGAGTACAGATCTTTTACCTCTTTAGTTAGGTTTATTCCTAGGTATGTTACAGTTTTTGGTGCAATTGTAAATGGGGTTGGTTCCTTGGTTTCTTTTTCTGCTCCTTCATTATTGCTGTATAGAAATGCAACAGATTTCTATGTATTGATTTTACATCCTACGACTGCTGAATTCATGTATTCTAGCAATTTTTTGGTGAAGTCTTTTGGGTTTTATATGTAAAGTATCATGATGTTGTCTGCAAATAGTGAAAGTTTGACTTTTTCTTTGCTGATTTGGATGGATGCCTTTTCTTTTTGTCTCTGATTGTTGAGGCTAAGACTTCTGGTACTATGTTAAATAGTAATGAGAGTGGAAATCCCTGACTTGTTCCTGACCGTATCACTGAGGGTCATATTAGCTGTGGGTCTTTTGTATATGGCCTTTATGATGTTGAGACATGTTCTGTCTATCCCTGCTTTGTTGAGGGCTTTATCAAGAATGGATGCAGTATTTTGTCAGATGCCTTTTCTGCATCTTTTGACAGGATCACATGGTTCTTATCCTTTCTTTATTAATGTGTATCACGCTGATTGATTTGCAAATATTGAACTAGCCCTGCAGCCCAGGAATAAATCTCACTTGATCATGGTGAATAATTCTTTTAATGTGCTGTTGGATTTGATATGCTAGTATCTTGAGAATTTTTGCATCCATGCTCATCAGCAATATTGGCCTGTAATTCTTCTCTTAGTGGAGTCTTTGTCTGGTTTTGGAATCAAGGTAATGCTGGCCTTGTAGAATGAGTTTGCAAGTTTTCCTTCCATTTCTATTCTTTTGAATAGTTTGAGAAGAATAGGTATTAACTCTTATTTGTTTTTTTTTTTTAATTTATTTTATGTTTATTTTTGTGAGAGAGGGAGTTAGGGTGTGAGCAGGGGAGGGTCACAGAGAAAGAGGGAGATACAGAATCCAAAGCAGGCTCCAGGCTCTGAGCTGTCAGCACAGAGGCTGACGTGAGCTTGAACCCATGAACCGTGAAAGCCGAAGTTGGACATTTAACCAACTGAGCCACCCAGGCGCCCCAACTCTTCTTTAAATGTCTGCTAGAATTCCCCTGGGAAGCCGTCTGGCCCAGAACTCTTGTTTGTTGGGAGATTTTTTTTGTTTTTAAGCTTCTTTATTTTTTGAGAAAGAGAGAGAGAGAGAGAGAAAGGCAGTGCCAGCTAGGGAGGGACAGGGAGAGGAGGAGAAAGAGAATCCCAAGCAGGTTCCACACTCAGTTCAGAGGCTGACGCAAGTGATCTCATAAGCCATGAGAACACAACCTGAGATGAGATGAAAAGTTGGATGCTTAACGATCAAGCCACCCAGGCTCTCTTGTTGGGCTCTCTTGTTGGGAGATTTTTGATGGCTGATTCAGTTTCTTTGCTGGTTATGGGTCTGGTCTAATTTTCTGTTTCTTCCTGTTTTGGTTTTGGTAGTGTGTGTGAATTTCTAGGAATTTGTCTATTTTCCAGATTGCCCAGTTTGTTGGCATGTAATTTTTCATAATATTCTCTTATAATTGTTTGTATTTCTGTGGTGGTGGTAGTGATCTCTCTTGTTTCATTTGTGATTTTGAGTCCTTTCTTTTTTCTTTCTGATAAGTCTGGCTAGGGGGTTATCAATTTTATTAATTTTTTCAAAGAACCAGCTCTTAGTTTCACTGATCTGTTCTCTTGGTCTTTTTTTTTTTTTAATGTTTATTTACTTTTGAAAGAAAGAGCAGGAACAGGGGAAGGACAGAGAGAGAGGGAAACATAGAATCTGAAGCAGGCTCCAGGCTCCAAGCTGTCAGCACAGAACCTGACGTGGGGCTCAATTCCACAAACTGCGAGATCATGACCTGACTGAAGTTGGATGCTCAACTGACTGAGCCACCCAGGCACCCCAGATTTTGTTTGTTTCTCTGTTGTTCATTCTGGTGGCTTTAGGCTTTATTTGCTATTCCTTTTCTAGCTCCTTTAGGTGTAAGGTTAGGTTGTATATTTGTGACATTTCTTATTTCTTGAGGTGAGCTTGTATTACAGTATACTTCCCTGTTCAAATTGCCTTTGCTGCATCCCAAAGGTTTTGGACCGTCATGTTTTCATTTTCATTTGCTTCCATGTATTTTTTAATTTTTTCTCTAATTTCTTATTTAACCCATTCATTCTTTAGTAGGATGTTCTTTAACCTCCATGTATTTGAGGGCTTTGCAAATTTTTTCTTGTGGTTGATTTCAAGTTCCATAATGCTGTGGTCTGAAAATATGCATGCTGTGATCTCGATTTTTTTGTACTTGTTGAGGATTGATTTGTGATGCAGTATGTGATCTGTTCTGGAGAATGTTCCATGTTCATTCAAAAAGAATGTGTATTTTGCTTTAGGATGAAATGTTCTGAATATATTTGTTAAGTCCATCTGATCCAGTGAGTCATTCAAAGCCATTATTTCCTTGTTGATTTTCTGCTTGGATGATCTGTCCATTGCTGTAAGTGGGGTGTTAAAATTCCCTACTATAATTCTATTATCAGTGAGTTTATGTTTGTTACAATTGATTGGGTACCCCCAAGTTGGGAGCATAAATATTCATAATTGTTAGATATTCTTGATGCATAGACTCCTTAATTCTGATGTAGTGCCTTTCTTTATCTCTTGTTACAATCTTTGTTTTAAAATCTATTTGTCTGATATAAGTGTGGCTACTCTGGCTTTCTTTTGACTTCCATTAGCATGATAGATGATCCTCCATCCCCTCACTTTCAGTCTGCACGTGTCTTTAGGTCTAAAATGAGTCTCTTGCAGAGAGCATATAGATGGATTATGGGGTTTTTTATATATACATTTTGATACCCTGTGCCTTTTGATTGGAGCATTTAGTCCATTTACATTCAGAGTGATTATTGGTAGATAAGAATTTAGTGCCATTGTGTTACCTATAAAGTTGGTGTTTCTGGTGATGTTCTCTGTTCCTTTCTAATCTTTGTTGCTTTCGGTCTCCCACTCAAAGAGTCCCGTTTGATACTTCTTGCAGGGCTAGTTTAGTGGTCATGAACTGTAATTTTTGTGTTTGAAGCTCTCTCTTTTATGAATGACAGCCTTGCTGGATAGTGTTCCTAACTGCATATTTTTCCTATTTAGCATGTTGAGTATATCAAGCCACATTCCTTCTGGCCTGACAGAAGAGATCTGCTGTGAACCTAATCTGTCTTCCCTTGTAGGTTAATGGCTTTTTTCCTCTTGTTGCTTTCAGGATTCTTTCCTTTTCTGTGTATTTTGTGAATTTGACTATGATATTTTTTTATTATGGTCCTGCTTTTGTTGAATTGTTGTACCTCTTGAATTGTGATGTCTGTGTCCTTCCCCAGATAAGGGAAGTTTTCAGTTATAATTTGTTCAGATAAACCTTCTCTCTTTTCCCCTCTCTTCTTCTGGGACTCCTATGATAGGAATATTATTTTGCCTTAAGGCATTGCCTGAATTCTACATCCATGATCCAATATTTTTCTTTTCCTCTTCTTTTCAGCTTCATTATTTTCCATAATATTTTCTTTTATATTACTGATTCATTCCCTTGCTTCATCTGTCCTTGTTGTCATTGCAGCCAGTCTGTTTTGCATCTCAGTTCTAGCTTTTTTTTTTTCTTTCTTCCTTATTTTTTTAAAATGTCTGTTTAGGGGCGCCTGGGTGGCTCAGTCGGTTAAGCCTCTGACTTCACCTCAGGTCACAATCTCACGGTCCGTGAATTCAAGCCCCGCGTCGGGCTCTGGGATGATGGCTCAGAGCCTGGAGCCTGCTTCCAATTCTGTGTCTCCCTCTCTCTCTGCCTCTCTCCCGTTCATGCTCTGTCTCTCTCTGTCTCAAAAATAAATAAACGTTAAAAAATAAATAAATAAAATGTTTGTTTATTCTTGAGAGAGAGGGAGACAGAGCACGAGCAGGGGAGGGTCACAGGGAGGGAAACACAGAATGCAAAGTAGGCTCCAGGCTCTGAGCTGTGAGTACAGAGCCTAACATGGGGTTCGAACTCACGAACCATGAGATTATGACCTGAACTGAAGTCGGACACTCAACCGACTGAGCCACCCAGGTGTCCCTCAGTTATAGCATTTTTATTTTCAGCCTGACTAGCTTTTTGTTCTTTTATCGCTGCGTTAAGGAATTATCTAGTATCTTTTATGATTTTCTCAAGCCCAACTAGTATCCTTAATGTTGTTATTTTAAATTCTGGTTCAGGCATTTTACCTATATCTCTTTTGATTAATTCCCTGTTCTTTCTCTTCTTTCTTTTGGTGTTAATTCCTCAGTCTTGTCATCTTGTCTAGGTTACTGTTTGTGTGTGTGTGTGTGTGTGTGTGTGTGTGTGTGTGTGTGTGTGAGTGATTGTTAGGAAAGCCTGCTATAGCCTCCTCCTGAGAGTAATGGGAATGTTAAGAAAAGATCCTATAGTGTTTTGGGCCTGGTGCTTCAGGAGGTGTTTCAGAGTGTGCAGTCTACTGTTGTATTTTGGCTCCTCCTTTCCTCAAGTCAATTCTTTACAGAGTTTCTCCTTGCCTGCAGTGGAGGGATGTTTGGACCTTGTCCACTGTGTAGCAAGTTTTAACTAGGTGTGTTTTGGTCTCCCTGTTAAAAGAACTATACCTCTTTCCCCTAGAACTGAGGCTTTGCAGCATTCTGTGATCAGTAGAGTTGGTGTGTGTGAGAGGTTTGTGCTGGTCTTCTGGGTGAGGGACCTGCTGCGCTGATTCTGAGGCACCTTGCCCAAATGGAGATGCACCTGCAGGGTGCAGGGGGGCAGTACTTGGTGTAAGCAGTCTCTGTTGGGGAGTGCTGTATAGCTCACTGAAGTGGGTCATGCTGATGGGCAGGGGTGAAGTGGCGTCATCCTGCTCTCTCGTCTTCACAGCAGGGAGTTCGTGCCTGCCATTCTTCAGGAAGCCCTCACAAAAGAGCAAACAATCACCCCTCTTATGTCCCCAACCTCTGTCAGATCCCTGCCTTCACTCTGTGTCCATGCTGTCTGCCTGTCAGTGGCACAGTACTCCTGTGTTTTATTTATCTCAGATGTGTGGCTGAGTTTCAAAACTCCAAATTTTAGAGACCTGCACCAATCCTCTGGGGGAGGGTCTCACCATGCTGTGGCCAGTGGTTTGTCTCAGTAAAGCAGTTGCATGACTGCACAGTGGTTTGTGGTGTATGAGAAAGCACAGCAAAAAGCTGGCACCAAGGTTTGCTCCCTTCAGCAGGTGTCTCTATTTCTATGCTAGTGAACAGCTATGCTAGGGCAGCACATTGGCACAGCCAGTTCTTGTACCCTAAGAGGCTGTGCCATCATTCTCAGATGCACTTCAGGAAGGGCAACTGTTTCTCCCTGTGTGACCCAGGGCATCCTCAGACTACACTGCCCACTCCCAGGCCTCCACCCTCCCTCCCCACCAGAGCACTGCTAAGGCCACGACCCCAGCAATGGTGGGGACTTCTAAAAGTGGTCAGCCCCTCTCCTTTTCCCAGTCAGTGATGTGGGGAAAGAATTTTTTTGTGCAGTCCTCTCTGCACTATTGCATCCTCTCTTTCTCTCCTTTTCCAGTGTTCAGGGCTCCCTCCCCTCTGCAGCACCTGCTGCTCTTTTCTCCCCCAGATCAATTCTCTATAGCTCCTACCTTCCACGATATGGCCATTTTTCTACCTGTAGATGTGCAATTTGTTCTCTCTGCCCTAGGATCAATTTCTTGGGTGTTCAGAATGATTTGATATTTATCTAGCTGTGTTTGAGCGACAAGGCAAGCTTAGGACCCCCTACTTTTCCACCATCTTAACTCTAGTCCTTCAGTTCATCTTTTAAAGCATGGATAGTCATAGGTTGCTGATTAGTCCATAAATTTGCCACCCCTCTGTATTTATAATAGCTAACACATATTCAGCATTTATTAGCCAGGCATTATTCTTAGTAGTTTTACATTTATGTAAAATTGTGTATTGTGTATTCTCACAGTCACCACATGAGGTATGGTTATTAATTTTGTTCTCTGTTGGCAGATAGAAGTCTAATAAAACATGGGGCCTGGGTCTAAGGTCACTCAGCTAATTAAATAGGCAACAGCTTACACTCTTATAAAGAATTTACTATAGTGTCTTTAGTTAGAATTTATTCATTTACAAACTTAAGCAAACAAGAAGTCCGTTTATTCTCTAACTGAGAATTTCAGGGGTGAATTCTTGCTTCAGGTACATCTAAATTGCTCTCATTTGCTCTTCCTCTTGATACATAACTTGTTTTATTGGTCTGTGCATTCAATGAATAGATGATGATAAACAGTCTGAGGCCCACATTCACCTAACTTGGCAACTGTCGTGAACAGAGATCTTCCCTCTCCCATCACGAATATATCAATACTAGAAATGACTAACTGCTTTGGGTCATGCTCCCAAACCAGTCTTTATGGTCAGGGGGTAAAATATTGTGAATGGCCCAACCTGATTCAGTGTTTCATCGCTTTGGTGATTATGGGGACATGTGATTGATGGCTTCCCCTCACCCCCCAGCACAAAATAGTGCCTTCAAGGAAGAGGTGTGAGCACATAAAGTTACAATGTCCACTACATTTTGAATCAGGTACCCATCTCTTTTCTAATCGGACTGAGTTAGGCTAACAAGGCCAAATCAAAAGAAGAACGGTCTTCAGGTATCAGGGTCATGGATGTAGAATAAGCAGAAAAGAATGCTGGGCTTAGTAGGCACATTGAAAACACCTTGTAAGACGGTAGCTGTAGTTTCCCTCTTTGAAACTCTATTACAGACTTTGCAGGTTCCTCATTTCCCAATCTTACTTATTTTTAAATGCAGGTTACAGCATCAAGTAAAAAGGCACAATCTGATAGTGGCTTCATATGATGTTGTGAGGAATGACATAGATTTCTTTAGGTAAGAATTAAAATTTTTTTCTTTAGAAAAACTTACGAAGAGTGTTAATATTTTCCTGTCTGAAAGACTTTATATAGTTCCTGCAATATATTAAAAGGTGCTAAATTTTTTTGTTTATTCTCCCTTAGAAATATTAAATTTAACTACTGTATTCTTGATGAAGGCCATGTCATCAAAAATGGAAAAACAAAATTGTCAAAAGCTGTAAAACAACTGACTGCTAATTATAGGATTATTCTTTCTGGAACACCAATCCAGGTAATTATTTACTGTTCTCCCCCACTGTTTGCCATGTGGAAAGAAGGTTTGACAGGGGCGCCTGGGTGGCGCAGTCGGTTAAGCGTCCGACTTCAGCCAGGTCACGATCTCGCGGTCCGTGAGTTCGAGCCCCGCGTCGGGCTCTGGGCTGACGGCTCAGAGCCTGGAGCCTGTTTC